CCCAACGGTACATACTGAGAAATGTACCTTTTTAATATTTGTTGGAAGATGATCCATTTATCCTCAGTGTTCTTTTCACTAAAGAGTTTATGCCAGTCAATATATTGTAAAGCTTCCCTTAACTTATTGAAATTGGCCTTTTTAAAATTATATGTTTTAGTATTCCCCATGTGCTTTTGTTTTTTTGAGTTTATTTCAAAGGACACTATATTGTGATCACTATTTCCCAAGTGCTCACCTACTTGAATGTTTGTCAAAAGATCAACGTTGTTTGTTAAAACCAGGTCCAGACAAGCGTCCATTCTTGTTGGTGCTTGTACAAGTTGTGACATGAAGGTGTCATTTAACAAGTTTAAAAACCTAATTCCCTTTGCTGAGGTACTAGTCCCTCTGTCCCAATTTATGTCCGGGTAATTAAAATCTCCACTAATTAAAGTGTTACCCAGATTTGCAGCTTTCTCAATTTGCTCAAACAGCTGTTGTTCCTCGTCAATATTAACATTAGGTGGTTTATAACATATCCCAACAAATAGTTGGTTTCCCTTCTTTTCCCCCAAGCAGATATTTACCCATAAAACTTCCACATTTTCCTCATCGCATTCCATTTGCTTAACATTTGGCTTTAAATCATGGTTGACATACAAACATACCCCACCACCCTTCTTGTTTTTCCTATCCTTCCTAAATAACATGTACCCATTTAATTTAACTGCCCAGTCATGTGTCTCATCCCACCATGTTTCAGTTATGCCTATTATATCATATTGTTTAGTATATGCTAATGCCTCTAGTTCCCCCATTTTGTTATTTAGGCTCCTTGCATTAGTAAGCATACATTTAATATTATGCGTCACTTGTATATTTTGTGAATTATCAACATTACATAGTTTTTCTGTTCTGAGCTTGTCCCTTACCCCGTCTCCACCCCCCTTATACTGTGCTAAAGCCCATCTCCTTTCTGTCCTATCTCCATTTTGTAGATTGCTATGACCCTCCCCCCCCACTACTAGTTTAAAATCTCCTCCAACCTTCTAGCCATCCTATCCCCCAGCACTGCAGACGGCCCAGTGCTCTAAAAACTCAAAACCCTCCTTCCTGCACCAAGACTTAAGCCACACATTGACCTCTCTAATCTCCCGCTGCCTTCCCACTGTAGTGCGTGGCACAGGTAATATCTCAGAGAATACCACCTTGGAGGTCCTTTTCTTAAGTTTGCTACCTAATTCCCTGAAATCATTCTTTAGGACCTTCCATCTTCCTCTTACTTTGTCATTGGTACCAACATGGACCATGACCGCTGGGTCATCCTCAGTCCCTCCAAATAATCCATCCACTCTGTCAGCAACATGCCGGACCCGAGCACCCGGGAGACAGCAAACTGTCCGGTTGAGCCGATCAGAGCGGCAGATTGCCCTATCTGCTCTCCTAATGATAGAGTCCCCTACCACCACAACCTGTCTTGCCTTCCTTACATTTTGATCCCCACCCGTACTAGGGGGGCTGTTAGCTCGGCTGTTAGAAGTAACAGCTTCCTCTAATACAGCTACTCCTGAGCTGATGCTCCCAACATCTTCACTCAAACGGGCAAATCTGCTAGGTTGCACCAAATCAGGACAAGCTAGCTTCCCTCCCCCCCTGCTTCCTTGCCCCACTGTCACCCAGCTACATGCCTGTTCCCCATCTGTCTTATCTCCTCCCTCTCCACTACCTGTATCCACTAAACTCTGCTCAGTGAGCAGCAGACTCCTCTCAAGATTGTCAATCTCCCTCAAAGTTGTGATTTGCTTCTCGAGATCTCCAATCTGAGCTTCCAGAGAAGCCACTCGCACACAACCATCACAGAGGTGTGGACCCTGGAGGGGTACATCCAGGCATTCATACATGCAACAAGATGTGCATTGAGCAAACTTGCAATCTTGCTAACACTCATTTCCCCAGAAACAGAAAATTAAAACAATTACCTTGTTAGTTTAAACCCCTAGTTAGTTTTACCTCCTGGTTTTCTAACTCCTACTTGAAAGAGTCTACTTAATAGAGTCTACATTCAAGTAATGTGAGCAAGCTCCGTGAGTTAGGGGGAAAAAGGGGGAAAACCAGAACACGAAAAAAAAAAAAAAAAATTAAAAAACAAAACTTTATTTTTAATTTGTTTTTAAACTTTACCAATTTTAAAGATTAAACAAAAATAAAATACAAACCACTCTCCACAGTATACAAACCACTCCAAGTAACTCCTGGTTTTCTAACTCCTACTTGAAATAGTCTACTTAATAGAGTCTGCTTTCATATATACATACATACAGACATACATGCATACATGCATACATATATACATACATGCATACATATATACATACATACTGACAAACATACAAACATATATACATACATACTGACAGACTTATATACATACATACTGACAGACAAACAGACATACATAATGACATACAGACATACATTGATACTGGCATATTTACATACAGATATACTGACAGACATACAGACATATATACATACATACTGACAAACATACATGCATACAGACAGACATACATACATAATGACATACATTGATACTTGCATACATACATACATACATGCATACAGACATACATTCATAATGACATACATAGAGACATACATGCATACAGACATACATTGATACTGGCATACATATATACATACATACTGACAGACATACATAATGACATACAGACATAAGTCGATACTGGCATACATACAGACATACATTCATAATGATATACAGACATACATATTTACATACATTCAGACAGACATGCATACATTCATACAGACACACACACAGAGCTCATTTTCCAGCCACCTTCCTGTTTCTTACCTTTTCTTTGCAGGAGGATGGCTGGGGCTGATGGGAGTAGTCGGCTGGCTCTCCATCACTGCCTGGCTTGCGGTCCTCCAGCGCGGAGTGACCACTTTCTCCCAGCAGCACTTGTGGCGGCTGCATTTTATTTTTTAAAGGGGCCCAGTCGCGCTATACCACGGCCACAGTGCTGACCGGGCCCCTGAAGATATAGGGCCCATCGGGTGGCCCCATCAGCGTGAGGGCCCCGGTGGAACTGCACCGGCGGCAGTTCTGCCGCTACACGTGGGGCCCGGGCGACTGTGCCCCCCAGGGCCGCGGGGCTCATGACAACCGTTATGGTTGTCACCCCCTGATGGCGGCCCTGTCACCAACCTCCACCTGTCACCTTTATGATTTCACAGGCAAGCATAAACTCATTGACTTGGTCACAAAATGTTCAACCTGACCAATCAAATCATGACATAATCACCATGAATCGACATACTGTGATATACATATCATGGCTGACTAATGTCAATGGCCACAGTGCTGACCGGGCCCTGAAGATATAGGGCCCATCGGGTGGCCCTAAGTGCGTGGGCCACTCGATAGGCCCCATCAGTGTGTGGGCCCCGGTGGAACTGCACCGGCAGCAGTTCTGCCGCTACACGTGGGCCCGGGCGACTGGGCCCACCAGGGCTGCGGGGCTCATGACAACCGTTTTGGTTGTCACCCCCTGATGGCGGCCCTGTCACCAACCTCCACCTCTCACCTTCATGATTTCACAGGCAAGCATAAACTCATTGACTCGGTCACAAAATGTTCAACCTGAACCAATCAAATCATGACATAATCACCAAGAATCGACATACTGTGATATACATATCATGGCTGACTAATGTAAATGGGAGTCACCATTACAAACAACATCCCCCAACTTTAACCCCTTAAGACCGGAGGGCGTACAATTACGCTCTATTTTAGGCGGCTCTAAACGCCGCCGGGCGTAATTGTACGCCCTCCGGTCTTTCATTACTTACCCGGTCGGCGGCGGTCCCACGCTGGCGATCGCGGTGGGGGGGACTCCCAGGGAGCCCCCTGCGGCACGTCCAACTCCATGGAAGCCCCCCGGCCATGTGAGAGTGAGGTCCTTGCGAGGACCCCACAATCACATGGCCGGTATAGCTGGCTTCAGTATTGCCAGCAGGGGACTGCCTGTAATGACAGGTGGTCCCCCTGCTGGCTGGAAATGAAATAAAATAAAATTAATTAAGTGTAAAAAAAAAATATATACTTAGTGTGGCGAAAGCTGCCTCACCACTGGACATTGGAGAGGCCTGGCTGCCCGCCTCCTACCTGCTGACTATGGCCCCTTGTGAATTTGTACTTTTGAATGCAATATTTGGGCATATGGTATTTTATATTGCTGCTACTGGCCCTTTAAGGGTCATCCGTGGACATATTATGACTGTTAGGAACAATGCCCTTTAAGACTGTGTAGCAGATTGCATTCAGGCTGTATTTAATATTATGTGTTCGGTAAACGGTGTTATGTGTATGCAGCATTCCCCTGATTGTTCGGTAGAATCACTCCATTCGTTATATTGAGTGAAACTACCGAACAACCAGAACACCACTGGAGTAAGTGTGCCTCCAATTACCATTTGCAACAATGTTGCAAACGGGTAATTGGCAATCTATGTAATGTGTTCTTTGTCCTCTGGGAAACGAACACGTGGTGGCGGCCATCTTAAACTCCCAAACAGTGGTGTTTTGCTGTCAAGTGTCTGGAACTAAAATCAGACACTCGACTAGGCAAACACCGCTGAGACCTCCAGACTTCCATGAATTTGTGTGGAAACTACCGAATGACCCGCCGTTCGGTAGAAAGAACCCCATGAACAAGGGAATTCGTTTAAACCCTCCCCAGGCTCTGTAACCCAGGCAATTCGTGTGTTTCATTCCCTTTTCTGTGACCGACTGCAGGGCCAAAATACATGGAACTATTTTCGGATACTTTTGCCATGCAGTCGGTCAAAATTTTAACCCTCCATAATTCCCGAACCCCTGGTCCGATCTGGGTGATTTTTGGATATGTGTCTCACCCAGATCAGGGCTACGAGAGGATGTAACATTTAAAGGGGTATACTTATGTTTAGGGGTACATCCAGTATCCCAGGGAATTTGTGTCTGGACTAATGGGATTATGTGTCACACTAAGGGGAGGAGATGTGTGGGAGGTAACTGGTACATTATTGGCTGGGGTACTAATTGTTGTGGATCCCTCCCTTGCATGGGAGAATGTCTTAAAAGGAGGTTGTGTGAATAAATCTTGAGATTCTGCTTAACCCTCAAAACGAAGTGTCGTCTCGTTATTGGGGGAATTGGATTGTATGCTGACTGCCAGGAGTGTAACCCTTTTGTATGGTTTTCCTGTTCGGATATTTCCAGTGTTCATGTGTTTCCAGTTCGGGAGATCGGTGCTTACAGTAGCTGTCGGTGTAGCTGAGAAAGGGGAATATCGCCTAAACGGTTTTTAACCTCTGGTGAGCAAAACGGTCCGTTACACTTAGATCATATATATATTATATATATATGATCTAAGTATATACATACACATATACATACACACACGTACACCGTCTAGGTGTATTTTACTATTAATATATATATATAATTATATATATATATATATATAATTATATATATATATATATATATATATATTAATATCAAATTACACGTAGACTGATACTGATAACATAAAACCTGTACATAGGGGGTACTGTTTTACACGTGAGACTTTGCTGAATACAAATATGTGTATTTTATTGCAGTAAAAGCAAACAGTATTATGACATTGACAGTTAAAATGTCATGTAGAACTAAAAAAATAAAAAATAAATGTTCTCCAATTTTTTTTCATATCAAATTATGTTTCACAGCTAAATAGTTGATATTAAATGAAAGCCCTGTTTCCCCTGAATAAAATGATATATAATAAGGGTGGGTGCATTTACTATGAAAGAGGTGTATTACGGTTGGACAGACATGTAGCGCAAATGCCAGGTTTTGTTTACATTTTGTTTCATTCACAACGTGTACATTTGGCTCCGTCCTTAAGGGGTTAACCCTCATCTGAATGGGAATTTATTCATGCATTGTATACAAAGTCAGACATAAAACTTTACTATACACTAATATACCATGAATGTCTATGTGGGGAAACCAAACCAGTTCATGTTTGATTATCTGTGACATCAAATAAGCATGCATGTATATTTGTTCAATTGAATAACAGATAAGAGAATACATATTCTATATTCTTGTTAAAAAGATGTTAGATGTTTCTATATATTACATATTTAAATAATGTTTAAAGCTATGACTTTTATTCAATTGAAGCAATTTATAATATATAGCATTTATTACAGTGGGACCTCGGTTTACGAATTTAATGCGTTCTCCGGGAGGTTTCTTATTGCAAAATATTTGTAAACTGATACGCAGTTTCCCATAGGAATGCATTGAAAACCAATTAATCTGTTCTGAAGGTCAGAAAAAAGTAAAAATGAGCTGGCATGGAAACCAACCTACAATGCAGAACACACAAGAAAAGGCATGCAAACGACAAAGCTCAGCTCCCTACCTTTCCACAGCTTGAGAAATGCAACAAAAGTCCCAAAACAACTGCAAATAATTTCCAGAATGGCTCCAGAACTCGATGCAAAAGCAGCTCCAACACCTCTACACTCGACGCCACGTGCTACCCACAGGCTCCAGCATGCAGGGGTCGGTGCTATAAACCTCCCAGGTGCAATGCATCCTGGGGAAACTTGCTTTGTATTGCGGAAAAAAAAATTCAGAATTTTCTGAAAACTGAAAATTATGTTAACCGAGGCGTTTGTAAACCGAGGTTCACTATATTTTTACAGTTTAAAACTGTATGGTGAGAAGACATCCTCATTTCAATAATCTTAAAGCATTATAAAAAAGCACCACTCACACCTTTTGTCTCATAATTTGCACCAGCAAAATTATCATATGTGAGAATATTTTATTGTACATCTGCTAAATTTGTACTCAGTAACCTGTTATTGCTAATTATTTATTCATTCTTGTAAATTTAAAAGTGTCACTAAATCACACCCTTAAAATCAGATATTTTGTTTAATAAAAATACTGAGAAAATTAAGATATTCCAGACAGTACAGTGTAATTTACGAAACAGATTATCTGAGAGCTTGTGTGTAGTATAATATTCTGTGTGTCAAAACATCCATTATGTCCAAATGATGGATCTAAAAGGAATAAAGGAGAGAAAAGAATGCTGTGAATTCTGGGATGACTTCAGATAAAACACAATAATTACTTCGTATTATGATAGAATTGGTAGAGACCTAGATTTAACCGACGCTGTTGATGGGATTGTTGATGTTCTTTTTTGAGGTTTACTGCACATAGAGAGTGTTGTAATTTAATTTTAAACTCTCTTGAGAGGTTCACAATGTCCCAGGAAAGTGACCTTTAAATTCAATAACAAAACAACCATGTAATTCGTTCCTTCATCTTAAAACTCTATGTGTCGTTCTATGACTTGAGATACTGGCTATGTCTATAATCAAATACAGTTGCTTCTGGCACTGAAGGTTTAATGGTCATGAATGTATTATGCTAAAGAGAAAGTTATGGGGTGCACTGAAGGTAAAATGGTGCAACAAATAATAGGAATACAAATATTCTTCCTGCTTTAGTTTTCAGTTACACATTTTTTGCATTGAATTACACAAAAAACAAATCATCAAGCATAAAGTTATCATATGACATCAGTATTTGCAAACCTAGTGCTAAAAACATATTATTGTTAGCATCTGCCCCCTTAGTTAGTGAGTTCTTTGTGAGATTCCATGCATTTGTGACAGAGGCCTTTTGGCAATGTGGTTATTTTGCAGATTAGATTTATATACATATATGTGTTTACATAACACAACATTAAGTATGAATACAATACTAAAACATTGTAAAAAGATGAAGACAAACATTAAAGGGAAAGTATAGTCAGCAACTACTGCTTATTGTATTTGTTCTGGTGAGTACAATCATTCCCTTTAGGTTTTTTGCTGTAAACACTTGATTTTCAGAGAAAATGCAGTGTTTACATTACAGCCTAGTAATAACTTCACTGGCCACTTCTCAGATGGCTGCCATTCCGTGTCTCCACACTCTGCATGGAGACACTGAGCGTTCCCTTTAGACTCATTGATTCAATGCATCTCTACGAGTAGATGCTGATTGGTCAGGGCTGTGTTTGACTTATGCTGGCTCTGACAATAATCTGTCCTCCTTGACAATATCAGCCAATCCAATGTGAAAGCATTGTGATTGGCTTAGAAGACAACCTTTCAGAACCCAACTTTGATGATGTCACCCAAGCAGGCAGATAATGGGGCAGAAGCAGTAGCTGCAGACTTGAATACAAGTTAGATTTTACTACATTTAGGGAGGCAAGGGTGCCCAGGGGGGCTAGATGGTGTTTTTAACACTACAGGGTCAGGAATAATGTTTGTGTTCCTGCCCCTATAGTGTTCCTTTAATTCTGCTTTGAACAATTTCATACATAATTGGTACAATACTAGTAAAATAACTCAAAATAGATGCTATTTTACCCACAAGATTGAAAAGCTAAGGAAATAATTCTCCCCACCTTGCTCTTGTCTTTCTCAACCACACGTTGATCATGCCTTTCCTACCCTTCAGACTTTCTCCCCAGCTACTGAACAAGAGGTGGCTGTGCTTCTCCTTTCCTCTAGCCCCACTACTTGCCCGCTCGATCCTGTCCCATCTCACCTTATCAGATCTCTCTCCCCCTCTCTTGTGCCTTCCTTAAACATCTTCAACTGCTCTCTCTCTTCTGGCATTGTTCCTGATGACCGTAAGCATTCCACTGTAGTACCTATCCTGAAAAAAAACATCTATTGACCTGTCCTCCCCCTCTATCGTCCCATATCCCTGCTCCATTTTTCTTCAAAGCTTCTGGAAAGAATTGTCTTTACCCGTATGTCTCACTTCTTCAATTCCAATTCTCTCCTTGACCCTCTTCAATCTGGCTTCCACCCTCTCGACTCTACTGAGACTGCTCTTATCACAGTTACTAACAACCTAATCACAGCTAAATACAAAGGTCACTACTCCATATTAATTCTTCTTGACATTTCTGCTGCCTTTGACACCGCTGATCATGCTCTCCTTCTTCAAACTCTTCAATCACTCGTTCTCTGTGACTCTGTCCTCTCATGGTTTTCCTCTTATCTCTTCCAATGCTCATTCAGTGTCTCCTTTTCTAATGATACCTTCTCCCCTCATCCTGTCTCGGGTGGAGTCCCCCAAGGCTCTGTCCTGTGTCCCCTTATATTTTCTCTTTATACTGACTCTCTTGGCAAACTTATTACCTCCTTTGGATTCCACTACCACCTGTACGCTGATTATACCCAGATATATTTCTCCTCCCTGGACCTCTCCCCTGCCATCCTACAATGTGTCACTGCTTGCCTTTTTTCCATCTCTGACTGGATGTCCTCCCGCTTTCTGAGACTCAGTCTCTCTAAAACTGAGCTCCTTGACTTTCCTCCTAATACTGATCCACCTCTTTCTCTCTCCATTCAAGTTAGTGGTCTCCACATAAGTTCATCCTTGCAAGTGTGCGGTCTTGGCGTCATACTTGATTCTGGCCTCACCTTTGAGCCTCACATCCAGCATGTTGCCAAATCCTGTAGATTCCATCTTGAAAACATTCTTACCCAAGATGCTACCAAGGAGCTTGTCCATGCTCTAGTAATTTCCCGCATGGATTATTGTAACCCTCTCCTACTTGGTCTTCCCAAAAGCCATATTGCCCTGCGACAGTCTGTAATGAATGTTGCTGCCAGACTGATTTTCCTTTCTGGTCGGTCCTCTCACACCTCACCCCTCTGTCAGTCCTGGCTTCCTGTGTCCTATAATCCATACCTATAAAGCACTGAACAATTCTAGCCCCTCTTATATCTCTTCACAGATCCATAGGTATGCCCCTTCACGGTCTCTCCGCTCTGGCCGTGACCTTCCCCTGTCCACTGCTCGCACCCGTATGGCCACTTCACGCTTGCAGAACTTCTTGCAGGACTTCTTGCAGGCGGCTCCCTTCTTATTGAATTTCCTGCCTACCCCCATCAGACTCTCCCCTAGTCTTCAACTGATTAAGAAGTGCCTTAAAACCCATCTATTTAGGAAAGCTTATGGCCTCCCATAGTAACCTCTACCTCACATACCTGTCTCTTGCTTTCTCCTAAAGAGCAGCACTTTACTCTTTCCTCCAGCTCTGCATCACTCCCAACTTATTTGATTGCTATTTCCTACCCTAA